TATATATATATATATATATATATATATATATATATATATATATATATATATATATATATATATATAAAAGGCAGTTCATAATGATTTTAATTTTCTGCAGGAAAAAAAAAGAAAGGAAGAAAGAAAAGAAAAGAGAACATAGGGTGCTTAATACTGTTCAGATAGCGTCACCCGTCACCCGCAAAAAATAAAGATTAAGAAATACCTTTCCCCTCCTCACGGAAACCTAATCAATCATACTTTACAAAACTCTTGGCAATAGTACTTTTCAGTTCTTTTCAAGTGAAGTTAATATTTTGGTGAAATATAATGCTTAGAGTTACCAATTATCGCATGGGAATAGAGTTTTAGCTTTACGCTTTAGAACGACATTGTGAAAGATAAAAGAATTGATGGCGTCACATTTTTATGACATCACAAGTACACTTTTCCGAATTATACCAGGATTTTGATGCCAAGAGTGGGTGGAATATTTGCGGTTATTAAAAACTGGATTATTGGATAATGCAATTCAAGAGTTTTCATTGGCTTAGCCATCATGATATGAGTAAGCCCTTATAGAGTGTGTGCATTGTCACGTAATAAAAAATAAAATCAAAAACCATTTAGGAGATAAAGTCAAGAAATTGTGATATTATAGACGATAAATAAAGATGACAGTTCTCCAAGTTTAAGGTGTGTGCACTGTCCCAAAGTTGAGATATTCGTCGAAATGTTCCGCGCAAAACTATACAGCCTAGTATGGAGCCGCCGTGTAGGAGGACCTCCTTAGCCCTCCAATATGGCGGGCGGAAAATAGTGTAAACATGCAGAACTTACTTTGGCTATCTAGACAACTGATTAACTGAACCGAACGAAAAAAAATTTACACAAGCACTTTTCTTAATACTTTAACTCCTAAAATCGCTAAAAAATCACGAGATAAGTGTATATTTTTTGACAAACGCGTTCTTAGCTTCATGTCAGGCACCGCCATAACTCCGACATTGAAAATGCGCTTGTTTCCATACGAAGGACGCTATTGAGCTGGAAAGTTGTAAACAGATATAAATTTGGTACCTCTTTTGCCTGATGAGGATAAACCTTTAGCGGCTCTTTAGTTTTGGATTTGAGAATTTGATGACGTCACGTGCACACACTCTATACCACGCTCTACAAATATGGTAAGTGCACGCGTAATGTTTCTGGGCATTTTTATTTCATTTTATTTTAGGTTAGTTTTCTATACTTTGGGAGCGTTTTTTTAAAAGAGCAATTATTCCGCTCGCGGTTGTTGGATATGAAATGATTACAGCCAACTCGGCGCCACGCGCCTCGTTGGCTATCTATCATCTTATATCGAACGAGCACTTTTGGAATAATTGCTAATTTTGACGATTTGTTTACGATATTTCATGGATAACGGGAGTGCGCCTATTGATGTCATAAATGCGCGCACGTAATTCGCTGGCTTTGTTATAACAAGCAATCTCACAATTATTAGTAGATTCAAGGGATTTTGTAACAAGGTCAGCTACACGACTCTCCCCATAAAGGATTTAATGAAGTCACTGACGCAAGCTACGCAACTGGAAATGAGACTCTAAACAGAAGGAGTCGGAAAGGAATAATCAAACAAAGCTAATGAAGGCGGCAGTCAAATGATCTCCCTTTACATTTGTTTTATTTCCCGTCAAAACTCTTATACGCCAGCTTTACAAAGGACAATCAGCTTAAAAGTGTCTCCTTTGCAGCTTTTCAAAAAGATTTCTGCGCAATGAAAACCCACACCACCCTTAGTATTGTGTGAAATACCAAATCATGTCCCATATCATATGATTTAATTCAATTTGCCATCTCATGAAACAACAACAACAACCAAAAACGTGGCTGTTACCCCTTGATTATTATGCCCTGTGACACTTCGTTTTAGAATCAAGTCGAAAACGATATGTAAAGAAGACGTTTTAGGTCTGAATGCCATTCGGCATCCAAGA